ATCAATATTCAAGCAAAAACAATGCGCAAAATTGCGATTATTTATCAAAATCGGCAAAAAAATCGACAGTTTTGGCGATTTAATCGCGATATAATCTCACGATTATCGGACTAACATATCGCGATTAAATCGCCGATTTTAGCGCGATTTCTATGACATGGGTAGCATTATACAAAAAGATCTTTTTCTAAAAACTGCCGGTGGTAGGGTGCACAGCCCCGGTGGTTGGGCTGAGCCCAGCTATGCCCTACCCTGGTTACGCCACTAAGTAGCATTCTCAAAATTCTCTCTTATTTGTGTTGTCAAAGTGAGTTTATCAATCTATGATTCTTTCTCATATCCTTTAGACAGCCGTATCCTCGTTAATATTAATGACTCGATTCATATACTACTGAAGAATAACAATAAAAAAGTTTGCAAATTGAGCAATTTCTTGTCTAATGCCTTTCTTCTATGATTTTCAATATAAGAAGACACGTAGCTTGTACTCTCTGAATTTTGTATCCAATAGAAAAGAACTTCGATAGAAATTTAAATAAAGACGAAAAGAGGCTGCTGAAAACATGTCTACGTAAAGAGTCTTCTTGATTTCTTGGAGGATCAGAGAAGCAAGAATAACAACAAAATCCTAGTTTTAGAGAATCAATAAAATAGAGAGTGCAAAGAGTATCACATATGCTAGTTTCTTCTAGCTTCACCGTGTTGAATGATGTGAGCAACTTAAAAAATGTATATATTAAGCGTTGATATGAAATTATTTATCCGGAGGTTGATTTCGCACATAATAAGTGTGCAAATATTTAACGCTTTAAAATAATGTACTGACAAAGCTATATTTGAGTATCCACTAGTTAAACACATAATATGCATTCGAACTACAATAGAACGAAAGAAAAACAACTTATAAACATCAAAACAATAATTTTATTATTTCTTTTTATTGATGAGATGAAGCAATGTCACAACTGTTCGTTGTTTTCGATGGTGTTGCATTCTTACTAGAGGTTGATGTTTTACCACTCATCTAGAAATAAACATAAATAAATCACAATAGATAATTTTTACTTGTCTTTCACTTACAAATTTTCGTTTTGATTCCATCATTCTTGTATTCTTAGTAAAATAATCTGGTTCTTGATCACGTCTTGTCTGTTTCTTTTTCATACTCAACCATTCATCATAGAACATACTTTCAAAAATCGGCACAAGTTCACATGCTCGTGGTAAATCCGATAGATGAAAACGCATAAAATCAAATGAAATACAGACATTATCAAGTTGTTGTTCTTGTTTTTTATCTGTTTCACTTTGATCTTCATTCTTTGCTTCGGACAGAAATGGAATTTTGGCATATCGTTGTGAAAAGTGCCATAGAATTGTATATTTAGCATTCATTCGGCGACCAACATCGATCGCTTGAGCCATCGTACAATGACGCATTTGTGAAGCATAAACTTCTAAACCTGTTTCAAATGTTGCTTCATGAATGAGAACATCAACATTTTGACCTAAATAAAAAGATAAAGCCATTACAGTAATGTCATCAATACGATTCTATTATTTTAAAACTATAGATTTAATAGGGGATTCGTATTTTTTTTCACTTGAGGGATATTACAGTATACACTGAAAGATAAAGAATTTAAGAGAACTCATCTATGAGTGAAATTTGTTTTTTGTCATACTGGAGATGATTTCATTAGTTTATTATTTTAATCAATAATGTATTAAACTTCTATTCATTAGTATTATCTTTGACTAAAATAGAAAATTTTAAAAAGTTTTCTTCTCTATTTCAAACAGAAATCAGGTAGCAGTGTGTAAAAGTCGACTAATAAATAAATGAACTTTTTCTTTCAATTATCTACCGTTCAATTGATATCGAAACTCTAATTTCATCGATCACAATTACAATTTAATGACTATTCGTGATAAAAGCAATTATAAATTAGTAAACATTCCTCTTCAGCTTGAATCATTTGTCTGTGTTTGGCGATTATTTCACTTTCAAAAGAATACTTCTGAAAAAAATAGTAACCATGTGTTTTTTTACTTTAGAGAAAAACAATTTCAAGCGATGCATAATTTAGTGTTCTAACCTGCTTGAATGAAATCACTTGATTGTTTACAGTCACCACTAAATGCTAATGACCATCCATCAATATGTCTAAGAACTAATGCATGTGCATCATAAATATGTTCAACAAGAACAGTTTGTACGCCATGCAATCCAATCGATTTAAAGCTATCGAAACGAAATATTTCTTCTTCAGTATTTTCACCTCCAACATGTGTTATTGTTGGTAGACCATTCGTTAACGTACGATTGAAAACAACATGAACATCATCATCAAATGAATATTCATTAGAAAAATAGCTCCATTGTTTTCGGCCAACATCAACATATTTATTTGGACAAAGCAAGATTAACTTTTCATATTTATGTCCAAGATTTTCAAATGCACGTCGACGCTGTCGAAGCAAACCATATAAACCACCGAGATGATCCGCATGCATATGTGATATATAGGTAAAACGAATATGCGAAAGAATTTCATCCGATTGATCGCCATAAAAATGGCGGATTTGACCAATTGTTCCTTCGGCACATTCGAGAAGAAATATATTTCCATCACTGAAACAAACAAAAAATGCTTATAATCTCTATCAGGTTAATATATGTGCAAAGCAATGACATATTTCTTCATTCATACGAGAAGATACACATTAACAATTTTAGATCATATTTCACAAAATGAAATTTAAATCATTCAATTACTTTATATGAACTAGTATGCCACTAGTATTTCGAGGTTTGCTGGGACAAGCCGAACCAGTACCAAGAAAAACAATTTCGGGATAACTAAAAATATGAACTGTTCAGATAAGAAAATAACTAATGTTCTTAATTACGAATGTCCTGTTTTAGCAATTTCATGCATAGCTTGCAATTGTTGTTTAGCAGCTGTAAATGTTTGTTGAAATTCTTCATTGGCAAGTAGTAGATCGATGTAATTCTGTGGTTGCAGGACAATTAATTTTGAATTGTCGGGTCCCAAAGTTGGACGTATTGGTATACGAGTGCTAGTAAAGCCATAACTGATATTATCAACAGGTGTCGGAAATTTTAAATCCTGAATAATAGAAAAATAAAATAAAGAAATAAATTTCTATTGGATATTTTTTACTTCTTGTAAAATATTTTGATAACTGAGTAAAGGAAATATTCCATTATCGATATAATTCAATTGTGTTTGATACCGATAGATAGCTTCCATGTGAACATTTTTTTGTGTTTCATCCAGTAATAAATGATGTGTTGTATTTATGCTAGAAAAATCATACAGATATATTTACATGAAAAGAAAATTTTGACCAACCAATAAACCTTTTCATCCATGTTCGATATGCTTCATTGTTTAAAATTGAATTCGGCGCAAGATGAACGATAACATGGTATGAATGAGAATTTAATTCACTTTTACTAATCGAATCAAGATAAGTCAACGAAGGACAATCCAATACTAAAATTCAATAGAGAAAAATTTGTTAAAAGAAAACGTTAAAGTATTAGAGACACTAGCTGAATAATTCTCGAAGATTCTCATTAACAAATAGTACGAAAAACGATTATGCAAGTCAAAATAATCATAAGATATCTATGAGTACAAATCTGTTTTATAGACTTTATAAAACCAATGAAGTTTTAAATAATAATTCAATCGAAAGAAATATTTTCAATGGGAAATAAGCGATTTGAAATGCATACTTAAAACTTTAACAGGTGGTTCACCGGGTAAAGTCACATCTTTGGAACGAATCTAAAGCAATTAATTTGTCATTTAAACTTTTTTTTCAATCAGTTCAAACATACAAGACGGCCATCGGGTAATGTCACATCTTCACCATTTTTCAATCGAGCTCGTAATTCTGTTCTGTGAAAACAAAAAGAAACTATTTCTTTGCCGAATTCGAACAAAATTATTCTTACGGTGGTACGCCATGAAAGGCGCATAATTCTGCTGACAGAGTCCCAGGAAATGGATATGTCTAAATGTAATACGCTTCATAGAAACAATTCAAAAGCAAAATTAAAATAAATATTAACCTCGCAGAGATAAGCATAAACAAGATCATCGGGAAATTTTTGTATTTGTGTCAAATCATTCGATGTTGTCAACCGTTGTCGTTTGGTATCTGTTAAGTATAACTTTACAAATTACAAAAACTATCATAGATTTTCTTACCGAGATTCGGAACAAAACTATTTGCTCGTAGCGGAATAGCATTAATTTTAAAACAATCATCTTTAAATTCACCTTTATCATAATCATTTTGTTCTAAATCAATATGGTTAAAGAATGAAAAAAACAATAAGTCTTATTCAAATCAATTCTTACCAAGTTTAACATTTGGAAAAGCTTCTAAGCCTTTCCAATGTTTTAATAGACTAATCTAAAGTTAAAATTCACTAGTAAAAATATACATTAATCTCGAACATATTCATTTTACCACATCACATGGAGCATGAAACGTGATTTCATTTAAGTAAGCATCTTTTAAACTAATACAAACACCTAATAAACCTCCCATTGTATCCCAAGATTTTCTTGTCACAAATAGGTGTTTCGTTTTCGAGAATTTTATTTCCCAAGCGGTATTTTTTTCTTGTAATGTACGTTGTGTACCTTCGCCACAATTAAATAAATAATTTGTTTGATCATTATTGATGATAACAGATTTACATGTACCAGCATAACCGTTCGAAATAACTTGTAAATTAATACGAGATGTTAAACCTGGATCACGACCACGTTCTTTCATTCGCACATGTCGAGGTTTATTTTGTGTGGAAGACGAAGATTCAGTTTTTTGTTTTTTTGCCGAAGACATTTCTCGAATAAAATCAGCAATATCAATCGATGATGATGCAAAACGAATTTGTGTTCGATATAGCAGAGATGCTACAAGAGAAGGTGCTCGCATCAGATAGATGATACTGTTCTCATCTGTAAAAGTAAAAGAAAAGTTAACATGTTTTATATTAGAAATAATCTGTAAAAGAAACATAATTTTTCCAATTTCGTATCTTATTCTTTATTGAAACTTCTAGATACAGATAGATTGAGATTGACTGCAGTAAGAAAATTGATGTACCAATTAAAGACATATGTAGTCGTCGATAGATGTCATACAGATATGATCTAATCATTCTAATTTGCGTTCATATAAGAAAGACGACTTTAATGATGTGATACGATTTTTTTCCCGATGCACATGAATTACATCACATTTGAGTTTTAATTGAAATACAAACTCATCCAGTGGTTTTGCATGATTGATTTTGTGAGCATGGCTGTCTTCGTTCGCTATTCTTTTTTCTACCCATAGACCGAAAAAGCGTGATTTTACTTGTCTCATTTCTGCATTCGATACAAGCAAAATAAGCGTGAGAATAGCAACGCTCATCGATCTATTCTGCATTTTCTTTTTCTTACAATGTCGTCTGATTTTATTGAAACTGCAGTGACGCCAACTAGTTTTGTAGCTTATTCGATTGTTGGCATAGCATGTCTATCGTTTATATACGGTATCCTTGGCAGTGTATTAAGTTTCTTGCAATATATTCGTGTTGGTCACAAACGATTTTTCGATCGAATAGATCGACCAACACCGCCAACAAAAGCATTAGATCCAATTTATGGAACTCATGAAATGATCAAATTAAAAGTATTGTTTTCTTTGTTTCAAATGTAAAGATTCAATTTTCTATCTATAATTTTTAGTCTTCGGGTGTATCCCTTCATTATGTATCAAAAGGCGTACCAAACCAACCAATGATTTTATTTATTCATGGCTTTCCTGAATGTTGGTATACATGGCGATATCAAATGAAATATTTTTCAAAGGATTATCGTGTTGTTGCTATTGATCAACGTGGCTACGGTGTTAGTTCGAAAGTACCTTTTGTTTTTGATTATCGAGTTGAAGCATTAGCTGGCGATGTGGCCGATGTTATTGAACAACTTGGTTAAATTAAAATTTTCTCATTAGGAAATTTGCTTTTTTAATTTTAATTTTTTCTCTTAAGGCTATGAATCGTGTATTTTGGTTGGTCATGATTCAGGTGGCTTTGTTGCATGGACAACTGCTCTACTGTAGGTTTCATGAACTTTGATTATGTCATATACGGTTTTTCTGTTACATAGTTATCCTCATTTGGTCGAGAAATTGATTATCATGAATTCTCCACACCCGGTTGCTTTTCGCCATGACTTCTCATTGAGTCAAGTACATCGATCATGGTTAGAATTATATTCTGTTTTTAACTTTTTCATCTTATTTGCATTTATATATGCATAGGTACATGTTCTTCAGTCAAACACCATTGGTACCGGAAATTTTATTTCAAGCAGATGACTTTTCTGTTTTTAAAAAAGCTTATCATGGAAAAGGATCTGGACTAGTTAATAGAAACAATGTAACAGATGAGGATATTGACGTTTATAAATATACATTCTCTCAACCAGGTCAAATTTACTAATTTGTATGATTTTCTTTATTTTATTCTTTTTATCAAAATAGGAACAACAAAGGCTGCAATTAATTATTTTCGTGCTTTATTTCGTTATCAAAGTGATTTTTCACGAGCTGAAGTTACCGCACCCGTCTTACTTTTATGGGGCTGTCAAGATCCAACATTATGTGAAGAACTTGCTGATGCAAGTCTCAAATATTGTTCGGATTTGCGAGTAAAAAAAATTAGTACTTCTTCGCGTTGGATCAATCAAGATATACCTGATGCTGTTAACAAATATATGGAAGTTTTTCTTAATGAAAATACTCCTATGGAGCATGCATATGATTTTTAAAAATAGACCATCTTTGTTCTAACTTAGTTGATCGTTTTAATAAAATTATGTCTAATAGATTTTCTTTTTAAACTAACATCTATCGTTCATCACTAGACAATGAATAATAAAACGAGAAAAGAAGAACAAATACTGTCAAACATTTTCCAAAAATAAATCTACTCGTTGCGTGCTTCTGTCTTTCTATAAATGTATAATTTTTCCAGAAGATCAACACTTCTAGCAGTTAAATATCTTTGTGTTACAACCGGCAAGCAAAATAAAAAAATTCTAAGCTGAAATACAAGTCTGTTTATTGGCATAGAAATGGAAAACTCGTCTTTTGAGTAAATCAGCAGTTTACATTATAATTCTTAATGCCACTATCAATTTCGGCAGGCAGATTTTTTTTTTCTAAGACACGAGTCTACACTCCTGGTAGATTAGTTTTTGAGAATACCCTGAATCATAAATATACTTTGAGATATGAATCCTATTTTACTATTCTTAAATTTTTTCATCCTAGAAATTAGAGATTTATTTCATTAACTACATTTTATACGAGTTGAAACGAGAAGTTCTAGATTTTCGATGTTTTCATTGCACTTGCATCACCACAAATAATATTTATAATATTAATAGCACTCTCAATTATACTAGTAGTGTCAAATAATTGCAACAGAAAATATGTGAATAGTTCGCGAATATTTTCTTTAAGGTAAATCGTTGAAGAATTTCTATCTTGTTCTATGACAAAAAAAATAACAATTGTCGTATATGCATACAAAATAATAATATCTAAGTTAGTACAAAAAATACATCAGAAAATAACTAGTCTATGCCTTCTATTGATGCCGATGGATAATAGTTAAAAAATGTCATAACTGTTTCATTATCATCAAATTTTATTCTTTTACACTTGTGTTCAAATGGCAAAGGAGCTGGGATGGATTTGGCTGTTAGACATCTTGAATCGAAATTAACGATTTCGTGACGAATATCGGTTTCTTTCGATTTTTGTTTATATTCATCAAATAATTCCTAGAAAAAAATATATATTTATATTTAGGAAAAGAATTACTTTCAAGATTAATTCATTATTTTTTTCTTACTTGAGAACGATAGATAATAAGCTTATCTTTTTCCAACATTCGAATCATATTTAATGATGCTAATGTTTCAATAATATCACATGTGAAAATTGATGTTGCTTTACTAATATCTATAAATAGAAGAGATATCTCAATTATTTCTACTAGACATTTTTAGATTTTATCAAAGTGAAATTTTGCCATTCAAATACATACCATTTATAGCAATTTGTTCTTCATTTGTTTTCGTTAAAAGATAATCAAATATCTTTGATTTCCAATATTTTCTATAACATAATAAGCCTTGTGTTGACAGGGGACGTTCTGGTGTACCCGTATGAATATTAGCCAAACGACTGAGAGCATAACCTATCCAAAATTCATTATAAGAAAAGCTACTCTAAGTTTTTTCCTGACTTACTTATATGTACCATTAAACTTCCAAAACCTCGATTACGATAAGGTGGTAAAATTAATAAACACGAAACATTGAGTCTTTCTTGATATTGAAGTTTCGAAAAAAATCCAGCAAATTCATATTGATTATCATTATGACAAACCGTCAGAACGTAGAAACGAAAACGGTGAACATTTTTTATTTCGATTTTACTTTCAATAAATAAAGTAGCGATAAGACATAAATCTTCACAATAAGTTTTGGCTTTCCAACCACATACTTCAAAAATACTAACATCTTTTTGTGTATAAATCAAACAACCTGGAGGACGTGTTTGTGTACATTTTGTCTAAAGAGAAAAAAAAGATCAACATAGAATTTGAAACCAAATCTCCTTCATACATGATGTCGCCTCGCTGATGTTCCTTGTATAGTTGTTTTTAAACAATATTCACAAACATAGATTTTTTCTACTTGAAGCCATTCTTTTGGACATAACGTAGATCGGCATACAGTTTCAAATTCGTATCGACCAGTTTGAATCCATGGACGAGCTTTGTTTGTAGTCGATGTATTGTTTATTTTACTTGCATCATTAGACATGATCTTTTATATTCAATCTAGAAAAGTAAATATCAATTGCTTCATTATTTATGCGAGAAAAATATATATCTGTTAATTTAAATCCTCTACAATATTGACTATAACAAGTAGATTGTTTCATGCATTAATATGAAATGTTATTAGGAGTTCAAGTATCGATACGTTCCTCTTTTCTTTTAAATATATCAATAAATTTTATTTACAAAAGTCAATAACAACAAAAAATATACATTTAAATAGATTATGATCCTTTAAATTTCTTTTTGATCGAAGTTGAATTATTGTTTGATTTAGCATCTTCATCCTCTTTTTCTGCTAATTCTACCCATTTGTGTTTCAGATTACTTTCACCAACATGTTTCAATGAAACTAAACGTTCTAGTTCTTCATCATTAATAAGACGTTTTAATTCAGCTAGATGTCGATGGGATGATATATTTAGTAATGGTCGAATATGCTCAATTATACATTTAGCTTCTTTATCATAATCATTTTGTGCTCGTAGATACGACAAAGTTGATGAATAAGCAAGACATTCAAGTGCACGTAATTCTGCCCGTTTTTTACGACGAGTTGACATGTACAGGAAAAAAAAACGTTATATCTACAATGAAGAGAAAATATTCATTTTTATTATTCAAACATTAAAAACAAAAGAAAAACAAATAGCAGCTTTCTAAAATCAAAATTTCATCATTATGTATATACAACTGAATATTAATTAATTGGTGCTTGGCTGATACGATCGCTGAGCTTGAACAATACCAGCCAATATAACAAGAATCCAAGTAACAGTAACAAGGATAAAGTAGAGCTAAAAACGATATTTACGAATCAATATGAGAATATCGACGAAAATTTTAAACATACGAAATTAATCCAGTTACGAACTTGACGCCGAGAAAGATTAGTAAAATCAAGCATACTTCTAGATGATTTAATGAATTCTCTTGACAACCACCACAAAGCTATATTGAATCCGATTTAACGTCGTTCAAATGAACCAATAAAGAATTTTTCGATAGCACTGTCTCTTAGCAACGTTAGATGGCGTATAAAAAACGAAATGGACATAATTCTTGCTTATGTATAAATATTAATCAAGAAAAACAAGCATCTTACTGTTCAAAAAACAAAGAAAAATGAATATCGGCTAACTTAATTATAGCTGATGTACAATGAGTCATCGTTATTCGAATTGGACGGCTTTGAAACCATAGCAAAGTAATCATCTATGAACAATGATTGATAGTTAAATAGATTCAAAAGATGTCGCGATCAGCAAATGGATAAACACAAAATTTCAACTCCCAATCTTCAAGATAGTCTGCTAATAAAAAAGCAAGATCAACCTGAATTTTACTGTCATGTCTCATATCTCATTTGATATTCTATATCATTATAAACAAGAAATCTATACTAGGATTCAGATTGCTTATATATTGATAATTGATTTATTTTTAATCATCTGAAATGACTTTTCCTCCATTAGGCATTGATAGTTTATGAGTGAGGGCGTGAACGAGGGAAGGGCAAGGGGGAAAAACTCATTCCGAGTCATTCGAATGGCTAGGTATGGATCGCCATACGTAGCAATTATTCGATATGAGTGAATGTCTTGCAATAGTCCAAACTATTTAGGAACGTTTCAATTCTTTATAGAGATGATTATCGCTATTGTCGAAGTGGTTTGACTAAAGGAAGTCTGCTGAAAACAGCTATACTCGTTTTTATAATGTATCAGACATTTTTCGTGTTGATCACATTCATTTATTATTGAGATACATAAACAATTGTCAGATTCATTATTACAAGTAATCATTAGCAAAGAGATCCATTATTATGTTGATAAGACAAGATTTTAACAGTCAACTCAGCATTTTTACATAATTAAACAAATGTGAATCAATAACAAAATGTACCTTTCCTATTTGATATGTATAGATAGATATATCAAATTATTGTAAGGAGAAAAATAGATAGGTAAAGAACCCGACTGGTCACATATATGACAGAAGATTTCTGATTGTATTGAATAACCTCATATATGAAAACATTTTTTTTTCTCAGCTAGGTGGCTATTTAAACAATACCACTAAGCGCATCTTTTATTTTCGAATTAACTGGATAGTATCGAAGTCAAATAAATCTAAAAAATTCATGTAGCTTGTCTGATACCAACGACATTCTGTTCACTGTTATCGATACCTAAATTCTATATGATTTTTCTTATTCTAGAAGGTTATTTGAATATTATAGAAAAACAGTCAGTAAGTGCGAACAAATGAATATGATTTAGAACAATCCGAAATTATGAGTATCACAGGCCACCAAGGTTAGACAAGAACAAGAATTTCAATGACTTAAGTGATCGATCAGAGGATTCTTACAAAAATTAGTTGGACTAAAGAAATGATCGCTAGCTTTTTGGGAATTCGTCAACAAAAAGATACGATCACTTTGCTCAAGAGAAACAAAATATTTTTCGAGATCTAGCGATCAAATTCCTGCTGTACGTTCAGGGTACAAGCACTCTGCATGTGAATTAAATTTGTTTCCATCGCATCGAGGTTTTAAGTACTTAAATTTTGGTAGAGCGTAGTTTTTAATCAATGAAAATCTATTGATTTTCAATGCTTGAAACCGATAATTGTGAATATGCGATAACTAAGTTTAACATTATTTAAATCAACTGCAATGAAAAACTGTAAGCTTTAGAAAATGGTAAACTTCTGTAGGCAGATAGAGTACATTATGAAAAATGGTACTACATGAGAGTTGGAGTAAACCATTTACATTAATAACAATGCTGATTGATGGACATGAGCTTGGTTTTTGCGATGTTAGGGCAATATAACTTACAAACGAAGAAGCTCGGAGAAACCGTTGCAATAGATCATTTACATCCTCATCTACAAAAATACAGGTAGTTGAAACAATGCCATTTTCTTTCAGATTTTATTCGTTTGAGTTTACCAAAATCAATACGAGTCAAGCCAAAATCGGGCAACAATTCAAGTTCTTCGCTGTTCAATTGTCATTGAGATGAATGGATAGCACCGCATAAGGCGCGTATTCTTTGTAGTTTAAGGTTTATATGACTACTTTCGTCTTCATCACTTCGTCGATCGCCTAATATCGCACACATACGAGAATAGTTTTCTAGGTAGGCCATCGATTGAAAGCGAAAGTCAATTAATATGAAGATAACAAATAAATGTCCGCGAGGACTTAACATCGTTTAGTTACTTTTTCTGTGCAGCAGTTTGCCAAAGAATGAAAGAGAAACACAATTCTCAATGCCATTGAAAAATCGAAATTCTTATGTTTCTTTCTGTGTTCACTTTCGAATACTGTTTTACAGTTGGCATAAAATCATTTTCTACTATAATACACTTTGAAAAGAATTGCATTCACGTGCGTTTTGCGCTGAGTACCTCATTTCACTGCATTGTTTACATAACTGCAGACAAAAAAGAAATCTTACGTATATTAACATCTCCCATTTCTGTTAGAGATTGGTTCGATCTTTCGTTTGATTTTATGTCACTGAAAAGAAAAACACACAAGTTGTTTGAGCTAGTTGTTCACTGCCGTATTGTATTCGAGCTGATTTCAGAGAGTATGAATGTGACTGTGAGCGTTGGTAATGGTATGAGACACGGATGTGAATACCGATAGCATCTGATACATAGGTACAGTTAGCACCAGATTCGAGTATTTCGTGTCCCGATTCGCTTTCTTACCTCTGTTAACTTTCTGAGCACTTGTGTTGGGTGTGGATGTGCATATGTGTGTTTGAGGTTCGAAAAAAATACAACTTTTACACTCACGTCCACACTCACACAGCCATGACTTTCATGGCTCCAGCATAAAATCGGATTCATTCACCTAGGTTATGGTATTCTGTGTCGTTGGCCAACATCTGTACAGTTTGCACTGCCGCAATACAAGGAAATCAAATGTAAACATTCCAAGAGAGTGTTTATCTGCACAAAAGAACGACAAAGAGAAAATGGATTGGTGTAGATTGAAACAACTGTCGCATAGCTACACAGTCGATAGAAAAAGAGAACACTTATAAAATGTGCTGGTAGACATAAATTCAGTATAGTGTCTCTCACGAGGGAATATGTGTAAGTAATTCGCTCAGTTTTCATTCCTTCGATCCTATGTAAAAAAAATTTTCAAAATTCAAATACAATTTTGCACGGATCTATGAAACCCATCTAAAAAACAAAATTAGTCATAAAAGCAGATAAAAATCGATTAAAAAGTGTCTGATTTTGATCTGATTTTTACCCCTAATTTCTTTTAACGTGTAACAACATTTTGATCGTGATTTTTAACGTTTTAAATGACTATTAGTATTGTAAAATTCCGAATAGCTCTAATTTACTCTTATATTTTAATAAATCTTAATCTGTGCTGACTTCTTAATTGATTATAGCTCCTTCCCATCATATAATTATCTACAATCGGCTATTAGTTTTGAATTCATTTTAGTCACAAATACTGAAAATTAGTGCTTCACTCTAGATTCGAACACAAAACTCTAAATTTGCACCAACTTTTTTAAAAATTACTCATGTTGCCAATCTGTAGGCCTGTCATAGAGAAAAGTGATCCAAATTTAGTTATAAGTTAAAAATTTCATTTAAACTGTTTCATTTGAATCCGCGAAATAGTATAAAAAATTGATTAGAATAGAAACAAACTATTTAAAATATTTTAGACTTTTAATTCATTATGTTGGTTGTATAGCAGACCGTTAAAAATGGAAAAACAACGCCTATTCATTACACATATTAGTAACTAGGAGCTTACCATTACGAACCATATCTACTGACATGTAACACCATAACACACACCAGCAAAAATACTAGCCTCTGATTACAGATATAAGAAGATAGAGCTATACTGCGATAATTACACATCTTAGAAAATAAAATAAATTTTCACGATATATTTTTCACTTAACTGAATAAGTCTCAAGGATAAGTAAAGGTCCTACAGAAGCTGCGCCAGCAAACTTTTTAACTGATTATTTTTCGAATCAATTAATTATAATTGGTGTAACTTTTTAATGGATTTTAAGTGCTTATGGTGATGAAAAATCTATTAAAATTGCTGATTTTTTTACATGTGTTCATACTTAATTCGATAGATTATAGTTCGATTATAAAAACTTGAAAATATTTGAGCCCTTTGCCTGCTGAAGAAAAACTATGACTATTTTACTGGAGGTCAGATTTTCTGAAAAAAACTCAAAATAAGGAAGTTCGACTAGAAATTTGACATATCTGATAAATCTGTGTATAAGTAAAATTTCAGATCCCAAGCATTAATTTGATTTTGTTCTGTAAAATGCTTGGCTCAAGTAAAGCTTCAAGTGAAACCGTCATAAATGTTCGCCAACACAGTGTGGGTAGACTTGAGGATGACGGAGTGACGGCATATAAGTATAAATGAACTACAGATGAACATCACTATGATACACTGGCATCAGAAGACCTTCAAGTTGAAAAATCACACTCACAGTACTTTTTATTACCTTGTTTGTTTGTAAGACACAGTATCAGCAAATACAATTAGAGAGGATTGACCCTTCATAGACTTTGTCGTAAGTGCAGGTAAGCTGAATTTTATAGACAACACTACTCCGAAGCCACGCTACTATGATAGAACCACAGCCACATGGATAAAGAGATATGTCGTATGAAAATTGGAATCTTTTTTATCTTCGTATATTCCTTTATCTATCATTTATATGGTGCGCGAAATAAGTAAAAATAATAGTGTAAATTACATATACCTTGATTTTGTTTTTGCAGAATGTGAAACATTTTAGTGCTATATCGATTTTCAAGAACTTTCCTGGTGAACGATACAACTATGCATTCTTCCATGAAAAGTCAACTCGTCGTAAAGCCTTAGCATACTAAAATTACTAGAACAAATTCATTTGAAAAGCAAGATGCTTTTTTAGATGTCAGAGGGCCAAGTTAATATCAAACATCACAGATGGAAGATCAGTATTTCAATCCTTTTCAGCGCAGAATATGTTGGAAAATTTGTGTTTTTAATTAAAAGTTCAGAACTCAGCTAATATATCACAACCGCGCTCATGAGAAAGTATATCAGATTAAGACAACATCTTTCCATTTTTTAATCAGATTCTAGTCTGCAACTGTAAATCCAGTAAAATAACAATAAATTTAGAAAGATGAGGAATATGAACAAGTCATTCAACTCTTTCGCTAGTTTTACCAACTCCTACGTATAAATAAAGAGTTCTCCCTGTAATCGATAATATGCTTATTCTAATATTTGTTTCAAAAAACTTTTAGAAATTAATCAATATTGAATACCAATCTTGTGGATCTGTAGTTAACCGGTGCATGGAGTTCGACGAGGGTCAGCATGTTATGCTCTCATACAATCATAAAAGTAAAAATATTGTCAAAATAGTTTACAATGCTCTGATAACCGAAAATGTCCCAGTGTGGTTCGATGAGAGAGACATGGATGACAACATGTATGACAGGTATAGATTATTATATAGAAGTTCTTCGTTTCAATACTTTAGCTCTGTTCTATGATACTTAGTATGGCTAAAGCAGTGAACGATGCTGCATTTGTTTGCTGTTTTATGACACAAGAGTATGAGGATTCTGTGAACTGCAAGCTTGAATTACAACATGCACAAAAACTTCACAAACCGATTATCCCATGTATGGTTAGCAATAGAAAAGTATGGAAACCATCACCATCGAAATGGTTAGACTTGATTACTGGCTCTATACTAACGGTAGACTTCTCTAACATTTCTGAAGAAAATATCAATACGAAAGTAAGAGAACTTATTGATAGAATAAAAAAACAATCTTCAGCTCCTCCAGCAGAATCAAACGCAACATTCGTAAAATTGTTGAAATCAGTGAGACAAAAATATCTAGAACAAAATCGAATTAAACGTATTGTGAACGAAGAAATATTTTTCCCACTCGAGCAGAGCTACATTAATTTGGCAATGGTAGAAGCTAAAGAGCAGCAAGAAAAAGAAAAGAACTTAAAACAGCAACGTCAAAACAAGCAAGAACAAGAAAATGAGCAGAATTCTACTTCAAAATACAACCTTGATAAGATTCTCGGCACATATGAAGAAATTCATGGCGTGAAGATTTCAATCCATGTGGAAGACATTTTCCAGAAATGCAATAATGAAATAAAAAAAGTACTTGTACTTGGAAGAGCTGGAATTGGAAAATCGACATTCTGTCTATACGTTACTTATCTATGGGCGAAAAGTCAACTTTGGTCCGAATATGATCTAGTGATTTTGATTCACTTACGACGATTAGCAGATACCAACTACCCGTTGAATAAGAGATATACACCAGTTGATCTTGCTGAAATGGAATATTTTCAACAAGATCCATTGTCAGAGGATGCTAGACGACTTTTCAAACAACAGTACGATAAAAGAAAATTTCTATGGATATTAGACGGTTACGATGAATTTTCACAAAGTATTCCAGAGCAACTAAAACGTGTGTTCGACAATATACGTGAGACACAACATCATATATTAACATCTCGTCCTTACGCTATTGATTTATCATATGATGTGAAAATGGAAATAATAGGATTCACAAATGACAATATTCCCAAGTATATCGAGCAGTTCTTCGGTCAAATTAAAGATGACGCGTCACATTCTTCATCAAAAAAGCTCAAACTTTTAAACTTTCTGAGGTCAAATCCTAGCATTTGGGGCGTTGCTCATATTCCTGTCAATCTAGAATTGATATGTAGTCTTTGGAGCAATAACGACTGGATAGAAACAGATACTTTGACAATTACAGCACTCTATGATGAAATAATAGAATGGCTATGTCGAAGGCATTTAACAAGGCAACATATTAACCATACAGCGATGACAAAGTTAGTGGTTTATAAACAGTGTTATAATGAGTTGAGATTTTTAGAACACTTAGCTTTCAAAGCAATGGAGAACAACAACATAATGTTACCACCAAAGCTGCTTATGCAGACAGAAGCTGAAACTGAATGCTACTTATCCGAACATCCACAGCTTTTAAACATGGGCATTTTCAAATCCTACGATGATAGCCCTATTCCGAACCAGAATGAAACAAAAAAGCAGCACTACTTTGTTCATCTCAGTTTTCAAGAACACTTTGCAGCACGCCACTTACTTAGGCTTCTCAACAGCCCGGATAAACACGAAGCAATTAATTACATCAACAATAATAAGTATCAACAACGTTTCCGCCTAGTATTTGTTTTTGCAGCGGGTCTAATTGCCACATCACACTATAAATCATGTAAAAATCTATTCTGGACAACCATCCAGGGCGAGCCCTTGGATCTGGTCGGCATAGCGCATGTCAAACTTATCATTGAATGCCTTAATGAAGGCATATCACAAACAGTCGATACAGAACGTGCAGCCTTCTTGAAATTTATATCGCAGTGGTTGAATATATGCATCACCGTCAAGAAATTAGGCGTCACAGATAATTTACTGGAGTCCTTCCAACGTGCTGACTCATTAGTAAATGCATCTCTTATCCAAAACAAACTCATCCAACTATTGCAAACTCAAGACATACCAGCGAGACGGATAGTCATTCAATTTATACTAAAGTTAGAAATATCGAACCCCATTCCAAAATTGATTTCCGCAATTTTGAAAGCACTTGTAGATGAAGACAAATATGTGAGAGGCAGCGCGTGTGAAGTTTTTGTGAGAATGAGTGAAAAGGCAGCGACAGATGAAGTGGTTCATGGTCTTTTGAATGCACTTCGTGACAAAGATGACAATGTGACAAAGCAGGCCATTAACGCACTTGTAAAGATGGCTGATCAGATACCAACGAAGGTGGCCATTGATGGTCTCTGCAATGCACTTTACGATGAAGACTCGAATGTCAGATGCCGTGCATGTGAAGTTATTGGGAAAATGGGTGGAAAGGCAGCGACGAATCAGGTGTTCAATGCTCTTCTCAATGCACTGCAAGCTGAACAGTCGTCTGTGAGATGCAACGCATGTGAGGCCCTTGGAAAAATGGGTGGAAAGGCAGCGACAAATGAGATCATTGATGGTCTTCGGAAGGCACTGCATGATGAAGTCTCATATGTGAGATCCAACGCGTGTGAGGCCCTTGGAAAAATTGGTGGAAAGGCAGCGACAAATGAGATCATTGATGGTCTTCGGAAGGCACTGCATCATGAAGACTCATATGTGAGACGCATCGCGTGTCAGGCCCTTGGAAAAATGGGTGGAAAGGCAGCGACAGATCACGTGATAAACAGTCTCCGGAAGATATTTCATGACGAAGACTCATATGTGAGACGTTGTGTGCGTGACACACTAGCAAATTTGGGTAAAGAGGCAGTGACGAATGAAATGATCCATGAAATCCTAAATGCACTGAAAGATGATGACCGAGATGTGAGACGTCGCGCGTGTCAGACCCTTTATAATATGGATGTAGAAGCAGTGACGAAAGAAGTGATCGGTGGTCTCCTCCATGCATATCTCGATGAAGACTCGTATGTGACAGACCTTGCCCGTAAGACCATCCTGAAGATGACTAAACATGAAACGACGAATCAAGTGATCGAAGGTCTCTGGGATGCAGTTCGAGATGATGACTACTCTGTGGGTAATATTGCGCATGAGGTCCTTGTGAAGATGTGTAAAAAGGGCGCGACAAATGAGTTCATCTTTGTTCTCCTGGATGCAATTCACGATGACGAATCGTGGGTGAGAGTGACCGCGTGTAATGCCCTTTCGAGCATCGAGGAAATGTCAGCGACAAATGACCTAATCGATGGCCTTCTGGATGCACTTCACAATAAAGACTCACATGTGAGAAGTAGCATTTGTTACGTCCTCGGAAACATTGGTGAAAGGGCAGCGACGAGTGAGGTGATCGATGGTCTGCTGAATGCAGTTCACGATATAAATTCATATGTGAGACGTTCTGCCTGTGAAGCTCTAGCGAAGATGGGCGAAAAAGCAGCGACAGATCACGTAATCAATACTCTCATGGATGCAATTCACGATGAAGATTCAGGTGTAAGGCGTTCTGCATGTGAAGCTCTAGAGAAGATGCAAGAAAAGGGAGCGACGAGTGTGAGTACTGTTAGTCTTCTAGATGCGCTTCAAGGTAAAGACTCAGATGTCAGACGGCTTGCGTGTGTGATCCTTGGGAATATGGGTACAAAGGCAGCGACGAAGGAAGTGATCGGTGGCCTCCAGCATGCATTTCTAGATGAATACTCATGTGTGAAAAGTTATGCATGTGAGGCCGTAGGAAAAATGGGTGAAAAAGCAGCGACCAATGATGTGATCATTTGTCTTCTGAATGCACTTCAAGATAAAGAGTCATTTGTGAGACGCAGCGCGTGTAACGCTCTTGGAAATATGGATGTAAAGGCACAAACGAGTGACGTGATCATTTGTCTTTTGAAGACGCTTGGAGATGAAGACGTCTTTGTGAGAAGTGATGCATGTGAGGCGCTTGTGAAAATCGATGGAAAAGTAGTGACGAATGAGCTAATCAATGGTCTCATGAATGCACTTCGAGATGAACAGCCATTTGTGAGAAGTGGTGCATGTAAGACCCTTGCCAAGATCGGTGCAAAGGCAACGTCGAATACGCTGATTGAAAGTCTCCTGAATGCGATTCAAGATGAAGACTTGAGTGTCAGATGCTGTGCAATTGAAGCCATTGGGAATATGGGCGACGAGTCAGCGACGAGTGAGGTGATCGATGCTCTCCTGAATGCACTTCATGATAAAAAGTCAGATATCAGATGGCGTGTGTGTGAAGCGATTGGAAATATGGGCCAGAAGGTAGCGACGGAACACGAGATCAATGGTCTACTAAATGCACTTCACGACGAAGACTCATATGTGAGACGCTGTGCGTGTGAGGCTCTTGGGAAGATGGGTGAAAAGGTAACAACAAGTCAAGTGATAGATGGTTTTCTGAATGCAGTTAGAGATGAAAACTATTCTGTAAGTACGGGCGCGTTGGAAGCTATTGTGAAAATTGGTGAAAAAACAGCAACAAATCAAGTGATTGATGGTCTACTGGTAACACTTCGATATGAAAACTCAGATGTGAGACGCCGTGTGTGTGGTGCGCTTGGTAGAATCGGTGAAAAAGTGGCGACTGCCCAAATTGCCAATGGTCTCATAAATGCACTTAATGATAAGGACTCATATGTACGCGATGATGCGTGTGATGCTTTTGTGAAGATTGCTAAAAACACATCGAGCAATGTGGTGATCGATATTCTTCTGAAGACACTTTGTAGTGAAAATTCACATGACAAATGGGGTGCACGTAAAGCTCTCGAGAAGATTGTGGAACAGACACGGGCGAGTAATGTCATCATAACGCTGGTGAACGCAGATATTTATTATACAGATTATATGTACAAGAGCTTGGTAGTTGTTGTGTTGAAAAGAGCGTTAGTTTCCTTTGATGTACTGAAAGAGTTAGACTCAAATATTCTATCGAAACTACTCTCATATTTTCAAGAGATTGACGAGATCTGGGCGAATCCTATTCCTTCCGACCAATTTATTAAGGTATGGTTGCATACAAGAAACGATGCATGGATTCCATTGATTGTATTTGCTGCCTTGCGGCAAGGCGTGGCTTTAACTGTCATAGAAAACAGTATCTTAATATATGATCATAACGATGTATTTATGTTAGATATATCGCCCACTGAAATGTTGAAAACTTTGATAGATGCTTTCAATTGTCAAAAAAGAGACTTGCAATGTAGCCCTGATTCCATGATTAGAAGTGGAACTATAACGGTGCACTCATTACCCTTAAGCAAAATTACATAATGTAACTGCTTCGTGACTTTCTACGTGTGGTCTTCTTTGTAGCGTCATTAATTTCGAATTAAATTTATTCGTTTTGGATGTGGGACTTATTGTTTGTAATAATTTGAAGTTCCGAGTAAATAAGAAATTAATGTTCCATAACGATTTGAAAATCAAGAGTGTTGATTTAACCGAATCGATTTGTGAAAATAAAAGCTGCTAACACAATCCCTTTGAAATTAGCAATGTGCAACACGATATGTACTCAATAAAATTAATCATAAGGTAATTGTTTATGCAATTAGGTTATTTTTGATTTTATGACATAGAGTCATATGGATTAATAGGAAAATATATAAAATAGAGGGTTTGTTTAGTTTTGGTGATGTCCAATATTTATTACTAAATTTTACAGAGGAAAATGACTATCTAAATTTAGTATTATAGCTGATCTTAAGAATATAATAGATAGATTGCGATTGGGTTTCAATTTTATGAACAGCTTGCATCTTGTTTTATATCTGCTGTCAAGAATACATTTGGCAGCATTTTATCAGGTCTGGTGGGGGGGGGGGGGGTCTAGATAGTTGTTGTGCNTCATAAAATCAAAAATAACCTAATTGCATAAACAATTACCTTATGATTAATTTTATTGAGTACATATCGTGTTGCACATTGCTAATTTCAAAGGGATTGTGTTAGCAGCTTTTTGTAATATAAGAGATTTGAATGATTCAGTGAATGTGATGTTGGTATGAGAAATAATGATGATAAGAAAATGAATAGAATATATATAGTTGTATTTTCAATAATCAATAACAAATAGCTAGGATCTTTCTATATTGATGCACTCATGATTCATGATGTCCCATAGGCTTGTCACGCGTTAGGATCAACCTTGAGGAAGTGAGTGAGTTTGGATGTGAACGGAGAGAAGAGCCCACACGCACACGCACACATACACCACACACCTCACCCCACACCCACACCCTCAAGATTTCGATTCCATCATGTTGGTATAATTATCGATCTTTGATACTCTTGTTAGTATGGCATCTGATGATAACTGGAGAATCCGAATCGCTACTTCATATTTCGCTTTCATATGTGATACAACGATACTTTTGTGTACAAATTGTGTATTTTCTTGAAATGGAGCTACATTCAAGTTTTAAGCTTTGACAGGTTTAACAATGAATTTTTCACCTATAAATTTAATAAATTGACGATTATATGTAGAGAAATCCAAAGTTTTCTGTATTAATTCTTGAAATGACGGGGCATCGTTTTGTGCTTTAGCATCATCATGTGCTGTTTGTCGATCTTGAATTGCTGCACGACACCACGCTTTTTAGCTATGCGACGATATATCATTACTAGCTGCTTGTGTATCTTTTCACCTATGACTGATATCATATGAACGATCGCGGTGCTTACTGCACGCATTACGCCAGTCTTTACTAATAGGATTTGAATCAGAGTTAGAACTGCCATCGATCTTTGCGTTTGCTTGGTTATACGATACACTATCACCGATCCCCATAAAGCTACCACCAACACTATCATTGACTTGATCAGTTTGATATCGATTACTACCGGATACATTTTCTGAATTATCACAACTGTCAGATGAAAGATTCTGACCAATATGTCTTTGATCTTGTTGCTCTTGAGTAAACGACTAATCTTGATTGGTAAGACTATTTTTATTCTGTAACTGTTTTAATTCATCATTTAATAAATGGACAATTCAATCTGGACGCATATTATCAGAATTCCAATAGACTGAATTCCATTGTCGTTCCGTATGGCCATGTAATGTTTCAATATTTAACGATAGACGTCGTCTCAACAGTTCTGTCAATGTTTTTTGATCATTGTGTGTAATATAATCTGAATCGTGTTATTTCTTCTAATTCCATTGTTGTCAATATTTCAGTTACAAGGTGATTCAAATCATCAACAAGTAGATAATGCACATGGTTCTCAGCAATTGATAATGGTAATAGTTTCGGTTCTGAAGACATGTGTGTTTTCATCACATGCTGACCAGTGATTGTAACTACTTTACGGGTTTGTTTCTCGGGCTATACACTATATTCTAATTCCAAACCATTCAATATATCAGGTGTTTCTGTGGCATGTGTTAATAATTCGTAACATGTTTGATTTGTAGTACATTCAATTTATACATCAATTTTATATTGAAGTGCTGTGTGCGATTACCAACTTGTGTCTAATTCATAATACGATGAGAATCCACTTTTTCGCTTCCATACAACTCGAAGGCGTTCAGTTGGTACCATTTTTACATCACATGTTTCTTGTGGTGGACTACATCGATTAAGTACATTTGATAGATATTATAAAATTGTTGTACGTAATTCATTTGTATGAAATATTAATGAATGACGTAATATATATTTTTATTCAGATAATTATAAAAGACACGTGTCTGGTTGGGATCCAGTACGGCTAATGGTGGTACAAATAGATGTGAACTATTCTGAATATGTTGATATACACCTACTGCACTATTTAAATACGGTACGGATATAAGAGTTGATCGTGATAACTGTACTTTAAAAAAGTCTTGTGTATAAATAAATTGTTATGAGATGGGATAGATGATAAAAATAACGTGGAATTGAAGATACATTTTTAATGTGTTTCTGCCTTACAGAGATGTAATCAATGAGTGTAACCAAAGCGACATTTATATATTTAAACATAAGGGAATTTTCCCTGACAAAATGATATTGTTCTTTTTATCTTGGTGTGTATCATTCACTGCTGAAAGATACTTCCTTTCTTGATTGATTGATGCATGTATGTCAATCTCAAGAAAGAGAAAATGAAGCGATAGAAGAAATACTATCACACTCTTCTCTAATAATACAGAACTATATTTGTTCTATGTACAAGGAGACGACAGAAGAAATCTTATTACGTACAATGCCATTTAACACAGTAATACAGTAATAGCACCACTCATTATTTATGAATAGGAACACGTTTTTAATGTAGACAGGCTATCTATCCTGATATGTGGGAAATAATTCACCACAATGGGAATGTTCATCACCTAATGTTATTCTGTTGTGTGAGGTACATGTCACTGTCATCTTCGTTCTTACCAAAATAAAAAATAGATAAGATAGAAGAAAACAAATCTAGGAAACGACAACATTTTTTATAAATCAAATTGGTAGGAAATATCATGTGATATTCTCCACCAAACAAGAAAAACATTGCATTAAAAAACTTCATGTTGTGATGCGTTATTTCCCACATATCAGAATAGATAGTCTGTCAACACAATCAAGCTTGAATGGTTTTGGCATACTGTTTTTTCTATTTTATGTTGGAAATATTCCATATCATTCTCTACTAATTTGATTTATAGCGAATGAGAAGACTTTTTAAGTATGCAAACGTAACTGTATAAATAGAGCTGTATAATAACTAAAAGATAGTACTCCAAAAAGCAGAATCTTACTGTGCAAACAAATTCTTTCACTATCGATTCGATTCAATCATCGTATCTAAAGATGATGTTCTTCAATCGAACATTCTATTTTCTTTTTATTACTCTATTATTGATTTATTTAACAGGTAAAGGCTTATCGATAATCATCGTGAAGTAGAAAATGTTAAATTTTATGCTTCGATCGTGCTTTTGTTTTGTTTGATAGTGCATGTTGAAAGTGCCGGTACTGGTACAAACAGGAATCAATGGATAAGACATCCCGGAATCACTGAACCCTATCCGCTACGAGGTTCAGTTCCTCAGAGTCCAGCTGGTTCAGCATCTCAATCACAAGGACATCCTCCAAGATCTGCATCGCCACCATGAGACTCCATCTTCCTGAATCCAGTTGGTTCGAGATCTCAATCATTGAGACCAATTACGGGACCACCGCTGCATTGTGCCAATGCGGTTCGAATTCATCCGTCCACGGACTCGGTTGCTGGAAGTTCATTCGGACAACACGGCCGAGCAAACCAAGTTCGCAGATCAGCATCGCAGAATGTGGATTTGGCCAATAAAGATTTGTTAGGGTCAATCGTTAGGGTGTTTATATGTTTAGAAACCCAGAAGAAAATGAAGGTAGCGATCATATTTACAATCGTCGCAAGAGAGATTTTAGCCAGTTGAATCCACAGATTAAATCGCAAAAAGACGTGACACATTTTTTGGCAACAAGCATGAGAGCCAAGGAAATTACAGACCTCTCAAGCAACTGCTTAGGGTCATATTCTTACCCTAAAACTGATGGTCGAACGCATTTCTTTGAATTGCCAAATCATCCTACTCATAATCTTGCTGTTGTAACGGGTCCATTACGACCATTAGGTGGCGGTGTTGTAGTGGGAAGAACAATTATAACAGCTTTCCCCATCGGCAAATCGAATTGCAATAGGAAAATTCAAAATTATATGGGAAAGGGTTGGGACACAAACCCAAAGCACCTCTGCTCGTAAAAGTAACCGATACCCGATACGATTAAAGGAAAATGTCCTCATGAAAAATAAATTCAAACAACTATCGTTGACCTTTAGTTATTCTATAAACGATTTTTCAAAGAAGTATAATAATGACTATTGTGCCAATATTGATATCGTCCCTCTCTGATTTTACTCTTTTCTCTGTGCGGGTGTGGGTTCTTCTCTCCATTTACATCCAGACTCACCCACACCCAGAAAAATATGTTGTGCCATAGATTGTCTTCTGTTATCTTTTTTTTCTTAAATAAATTCATATATAATCATACGACATCTTTCATAACAATATTTCAATCGATAGAGAGAACAATCCAATAACACTTTTCCCTTTCGTCTCACTTCTCATATACAGTGAAACAATTGAGGGTGTGTGTATCGTGTAGAAGCACCCATATATGTGTCTAACTAGAAGATAAAGAAGAACATCTAAACACACGGAGATAGCATTTCTTCTAACATAAGTATTTGAAATGTACGTTCAAAAGAACTAATAAATTCCATTGACTAAATTCAAGATAAAAGTCAGAGAATTGACTTTGACAAGAAATGATGCGCCACAAGAATAAAAAGGAAAGAAAAAAAAGAAATCGACATATACAAAAAAAAAAGAAAATGAAGAAAAAGAAAATCCAAATATATTTAGATTTGTCTTTTTTGCCTATTTTTCATTTACGTGGTCGTAATTTTCGCATATATTCTTCATTTGATTCTGGTGTTTTCGATGTTGGTGTTGTTTTATTTGCACTTGTTCGTGGTTTTTTCGGCGGTGTTTGAGGATTTTCAGTTTCAATTGTTGTTACTGCTTTGTTTCCTTTTTCATTAACAACATCCATTTTTTCGTTATCATCTTTTGTAGTATATTTTCTACCTTTTGGTGTTGCTTTTTGCTTTTTCGAGACACTTGGTGATGGTGATGGTGATGGTGATGGTGATGCTTCACGTTTTTGTACCGTGCTTACTGGCGTTGTTCGTGTTCCTTTACGGAGGGTCGGTGTTTTAGTTTTATCTTTTGCTGAATCACCATGATCTTCAACATCAGATCGAACTGTTTCTTTTTCAGGTTTATTTTGAACTTTTTCAGTAGAACTACTGCCTAAATAAGCAAAAAATAAAACAAAGAAAATTTTATTAAAATAAATGAAGCATCCAATTACCTGCTGTTGGTGTTGTTTGTTTAGTATCCTTTGGTGTTGTAGCTGCTTGGCGTTTGCCACGTGTTGATGTAGGTGGTTTTTGATTTGTCTTTGTAGGAGTAATATCTTCAGTTGTTTCTGTTTCATCTTTGTTAGTTGATGTAACAGGTTTTCTCGCACGTGTTGATTGACGTGTTGGTGGAGTTGATATTACTGGTGATTTAGCTTTACCACGAGGAGTCTATTTCAGTCGAAAATAATATTAAGAATTGAAGAATTTAATTAATTAATTATTACTCTGACTTTGGGTTCTGATGATGCAGAATCGACGTGAACAATTGTCTCTGCAGTTGAAGCTGCTACAGGAGAAGTATCTTCCGATGTTGTTGCAACAGAAGGACCAGTTGGTGGAGCGTGTTCAACATTTGTTGTTGCTGTCGATGAAACATCCTCTTTAACTTCATCGACTGATATTGATAAAGCAGTTTCAGGTTCAGTTGGTGCTGATACATCATTTGTTGGTGATACTGCTGGGGGCGCAACATTAATTTTTTGTTCATCTGCTAATACTGAAGTTGATTCTTTTTGACTTGATTTATCTACTGAATCAGATGCTCCCGATGTTGCATTAAATTCTCCAGCTGGATTATCATCGCTTGGCGATTCAACTAATGGAATTGTATCAACAGTTGCTGATTTATTTTGTTCATTAACATGTTCGTCTGTTGTACCATTTTTTCTAGGATGTTCTTGAGCTGATTCTGCTGTATTACCGCTAGTTTTATTCTTTGTTGAATCAGTTTGTCCATTAACAACAGCAACAGATGGTGTTACTAATTTCTCCGATTCTTCAACGTCTTTACTTGGTTGCTGTTGTTGAAGTTTTGTTTGAGATACTTCACCACCAAAAACCGGTGTTGACGAAGATGGTTCAAACGTGTCGACTGATTCTATCGACATTAGACTTCTTGTTTTAATTTAATGGAATAAGAAATCTAGAAAAGCCACAAAAGTTCAGCGAATGTAATCATAAGATTACATTGGAATATACATATAAACAAGAGAGATTATTCAACGATTCTATGATCTGTTTGAGAAGCTTCTAGAAAAGCTTTTCATTCTTCTTATTCAAAAAATCATGATAAAAATTTTTATTTATTTCTTTTTATTTTCAACAATTGTTGTTTGTTGCTTGTGAACAAACTTTTCTTCTTGTCTTCTATTTTCTTCATAGATTACTGATTGTTGTCTTTGTTCAATATAAAGTGCATAAGTATGCTAAATATTTTAGAAATGTAACTGATGCAACTGGAATCATATTCATTCTACATAGATTTACGAAATAATGATATTAGCCATGAATATTTTCAAATTAATATGCGTATGCCAAACATGTCAAAAAAAACACGAATGAAATTATTCTCATAGTAAAAATATACACCAAGAGAAAATGGCTGCAACTATAGTCAACTATATTTTTTCATTCATTGAAGTTTGGGTATGTCGAGGCAATGAATCATTGTAGGACCTATGTGTTTTTCTTTCGGTGCTACTATACGATACACACACCCTCATTGTTTCACTGTACATGAGAAGTGAGAGGAAAGGAAAAAAATGTTATTGGATTGTTCTCTCTATCGATTGAAATATTGTTATGAAAGATGTCGTATGATTATATATGAATTTATTTAAGAAAAAAAAGAGAACACAAGACAATCTATTGCACAACATATTTTTCTTGAATAGCTCGAACAAGATTTTCAAATGGGCGATCTCCAAAAAGCTGACGCCACATATACTCAATCAGATGAGTTCCGAGAACAGTTACGTGTTGTCCCAATTGGTTTTTCTTTTTTCTCTTCATGCACACCCATAAATTCTCAATATTTTGAGTATGTGTTGAAGTTGTTGGATCAACGAAATTTACGGAGTGATTGACTGTTGGATGGTTGTACCGGTGAAGACCGGGTCCATTAGCAATTCCGTTGTAAGCGGTCCATTGATCACTGTAGATCGTAGTGCCAGCACGAATATATTGATAAATGATTGGAAGAAGTGTTGCAGCATCGCGTTGATCAACTAAAACTGCAAAACACTCGCGCGTATCTCTGTCAATATCGCCAAAGATCCACTGATTCGACACAAGACGCCCCTGTTTGTACTTTCTTCTTGTTCACGCACTCTCATCAGTTTCAACAATGTGCCCCGGTCATCCAATGACCACCGGATATCTCAAAAAGTGCTCGCCACACAAATCTCGAGCAAAATTCTTCCAATCAACTATTGTTGAGTCGCTTGCAAGCTTACAATGACGTCTTAAAAATGCATGAGATTCGATTTGTTGCACCCAGAAGTACGTCAGATCAAGAACTTGAAGAATTGCAAGTTTCGAATTAGAAAAAATGTGCCGTGTCGAATAGTTCTTGTACTTTTTGCATTTTCTGCATCTCCATACAAATTCACCAGATGCTCGCGCACAAGAAAATAGTTTCCAATTATTATGACCTTGTGCGCATGGTTCATTTAGAGTGAAACCTATTAAACCAACGTTTTGACAAAAGTCGATACATTTTTTTAGTGTTACAAGTTAATTCGCACCATTCACGAAAATCAATATTATCAAGAGATGTAATTAAGTAATGCAATATCCATGTTAGAATGAAATTCTTTGTTTTCAACATGTCTTTTATATCAATAGTTTCGATTAATTAATTGATTAGACTTTGAAAGATTTTATTTTATTTTATTAGAACAGTATCGCACTATTTTTTTCTATAACTTTTATCGTGCGTCATCTTTGATCAGAATATTTCAATCAATAGAGAGAATTAACCATTTACTTTTTTTTTTCTTTCATTCGTTCCTTTCCTTCTCATATACGTTCAAACAATGGATGTGTGCGTATCGTGTAGACGCAGCCAATGATTCATCATTATTCCGATTGGATCATTTTGACACAATCATTGCAGTGTTGAAATGATTCATAAAATGAAAGTAATACGGGCTTGTTGATTTCACAACTCGTGTCTATCATGTCCATCAAAGCTGAGTTACATTATCAATTGAAAGAAATCGGCTACGAACTTGGTTCATTCACATCAAAAGATACATTATCTGTCATTCGATTTCTTCATTCCGTCGTAAGAAAGAAAAAAACATTATTTTGTTTTTCTTTTTTTCTTCTTCTATTGATTAGGTAGTAACAGAACAAGGTATTAATGTTGCTAAACTAGACGATCTTGAACTTCGAAAAAGCTTAATTCAACATAGCGTTATTGTCGGACCTATTACAAGTACGATTTTTATGACGATTTCATATTAATATTCATTCATTTTCAGATCATACTCGTGCAATTTATCAACGTAAACTGCTCGAAGCATTAACTAATCAAACAACAGAAGGTAGGTAAAATTCGATTTGTGGTCATCTTATGTTATTTTATTACTTTAGGACAAGATGATGAGTTTGAAACCAACGAAAACAGTATTCAATATTCAAATATCCCCCCGACGAAAGAATCATGTTCGACATATTCATCAGAAAATCCTTATTTACAGGACTTTGAAAATGTCGAATCGATGACTATTCGACATAATTATAAAGCTGCTTCATCGTCGGCAAAGTCATCGAAGCAAAATACGTTTGAGTAAGTGTATCATTTTGTTTTATAACATAAATTTCTAAAGCTTTTGTGTTGAGTAGAGAATCGAATGAGATACGAGCACGCATTCCAACTAAATCAAATGCAATTTTAAAGAACGATATGATACCTAAAAAATCTACGCACAAATCTGAAAATCAAGATGATAATTTAAAAGTTGAAAAAAAAGGTAAATATTTATTCTTTACATTTACTCTATATTTATAAATATCATTTATTTTATTTAGGTACAGGCTCATTTGTTTATGTTGCTTTAACAATTATAGTCGCTTTAATTGTTTGCTTTGCCTATTTATGGTTTGAAAAGTGAAGTCTAATTTTTGTTTTGTATCTATGTCTTCATTAGGAATTGTATAGTTTATTTTAATTTTTTTATAATCACAGAAGAGATTAAATAAATAAATAAGTGGTGAGTGACTAGATATACGTAATATTTCATCGTTTTTCAAAAGATATTGAAATGAACTATTACATAAGCAAAGCAAAGACGACCTTTTCGATTGTGCACATTCTGGAAAAAAGCATAAGCATTCTTGCAATGTTGCATCAATCGCTTGTTTTGTATACGCGAGTTGTCTACCAGTCAACTATGATCAAAATCGTGACCAGAGCAAAAATTACCCATAGTAATACAAGGGCTCAATCACTGTTTCAATATGTTTTTAATCAACAATCTTACTGGATCATTTAACTATGAATGATCAACTTCAGATTGATATTTTGAAGTCGTCGTTGAACTGTGCGTGTGTCAAGAAAGTTTAAAAAAATAAGCACTATACTGTAGTCTAAATCGCACCAATAAGGACCTATGAAAGATCAGTTCATCATTTTTTCGTTTATAGAGTGCATAATTGAAAGTTTTGATTTTTAAAGAATGACTTCACTTCAGAACGATTATAAAATTATGCACATTGAATATTAAAGGTTTTTTTAATTTTTCTCAAATTAAATTATAGATCAATGCGCTAGACTAAAAACGATTTCTTTTCATTTTCATTTTATTATCGATTGATACTGTTGTTGATAGTAAGATTTTTTTACCTGGCACCTTTGGTTTGATTGCCTGACAAATTAAATCATGAAAGAAAGCAAAAACAAATACTATGATTTCGATTGTAATACATCTTATTCAAGAAACCAATACAAAATTCTAATTCAATGAGCAATCATCGATATTTATTTTCAAATTTCGTTAGTTTTACGTTTTAGTGTTTCTTTTCTTCTTCCTCAACCTTACTATTTAACGACTGATGTTGTTTTACTTGCTTTTAGTTAAGAGAAAAAAAAATCGTTTGTAAAAATTTTATTTGGAAGTAAATAATAGTTTCAAATCGAATAGGGAAAATAATCATCGTCTACGACAATAAATACAATGTTTTATCTTTCGTATGCGCATAATTCGAGCAAGTCAAATATGCTCAGAACGTTTTTGCTCTAAAGTAGAGTGAAAAATAAAATTTGGTCTATGCCGTCAGTTTTTGTCGTTAGAAAAAGTCAATAGTAGTCGACAAAATTTCAATATTGATCATTCTATCAATTTCCAGCTTGTTTTTATTTATCATGAAGTTTGAATATCATTTATTTCGTCATATTAATATTATGTAATACAACTACTTGATAAGTACACGTACTTCTCTTGTATATACTTCTCTCCGTAAAATTAATCATTATGTTTGAGTGAAAACTGGAATAGATGAGTTACAAATGAAAATTTTTTCTTTTTATTCAAAATATGTTTTGCATAGTAGTCACTGGTGAGTAGATGTTTTTTTGCTCTACGAAATTTCTACATTGGCAGTCATGAACAATAATGATAATATCATTTTATTATTTTCTCTTTCTTACTGTAGATGGGTTTTGTCTTCGAGATTAATGTGTTGTATAATGGTTACTCTATGAGCGTGCAGTAGTAATAACATTAAAATGTTGGCACTTTTATTATTTTCATTACTCCTATATTTCTTTTATTACTTTCTCTTTGTTTTTTAATAGAAAGACAAAATCAGACCGAGAGTACACAGAATGGAAGAGTGCAATACTCGAGCATATTCAATACACATTGAATATTGTTACGGACATTTAACATTGCCTACTTGAAAGTCTTAAAATAAACGCAGGTGAGAACACAAAGAACAGTTTGATACAAAAATTATAAAAAGTTTCTTGCATTCCTTTTGTGTAACTTCGAAAAGGCTTTAGACATTTTGTAAAATTTGAAGCCTATTTTTTTTCGTCACGGTATGGTATAATATATAGTTAGGTTTTTACGAACGCGTTCTATTGTTAAGCTATTGTTATAGTTAGCTATTTTAGGTGGATATAAGAGAAAAATTTTTTACAAGACGTATACATTGAGACAAACAAAAATAAATTTGAGAATCCATTGATCTTGACGTATTATAGTATTCGAAAAAATGAAGTATTCATATCTAATAAAGATCTTTCACTTTTTTTTGTGTGTTAATCTTGCCCACAGCATTTGAAATAATTCAAATGAATTGAGAAATTTATGATTCGTAATATTTTTACGAAATATGATGCGATCAATGGCAATGGTTGCACTTTTTATTGTATTTATATTTCTATCTTAGTCAAGACATCATTGAATCCAACCAAATATAATGTTCTCTTCAGCACTTGTTGAGTTTTAGATTAGACAAAAATTCAGGATATTATTCGAAAAGAAATATAAATCGTTTTCTAAGAACTTTATTGCTTCCTAATTTTTTTCTGTGCCAATTAATATGTATTTGTAACTTGCCAAGGTAATTTATTGTTTTCAAACTATTATGATATATAGAACGTACAATATCTATAATGATGCAAGATAAAAAAATAAGTCTCTGTAAATTTTAGCCTTTGGAATTGGTACGGAAATCTGAAGGCACGATGAATGACATAGATTTGTTTTTAGATATCGGTACGTTTTACATAGCAGTACATATGAGAAAAGTTTATAGTTCTCGTCAGATAGTAACAAATTTTTTAATTTAACAAACTAGAAATCTTAAAATCATGATTTGACTTGTTTCTAATGAAATTTTAAGAGATTTAACCCATTGTGTCGTTAGCCATCTGAATATTTTTATTTCTAAATTCGTATTATTTTATTTTAACATATGCATTGATAATTGCATAAATTTATATCTCTTCCATGAATCGATGATATACGTATATAATTGGTCAATAAGCAATAGGAATATTTTTTCCAAGATAGAATTAAGAGGCTGAAAATAGCTATGCGTGCTCTAGATTATTCCATTGAAACGTTATACTGCATTCTTTTACTCTTAGATGATGTCGATTGTAAATGTTCTACATGGTTCGATCTATTAAAATGTACCCGTACCGACGTCTACTATTTCTATGTGCACTATTACTGGGTTCCTTCATTACTTTTCGTATCCATTTCTCTCGTTTAACTTCTGATGTTAAACAAGATGCAATTCGAGAAGACAATATTTCTCTTTGTTTCAAATGGCAGACTATTGATACACAACAACTTAGAGCAAGTACCTGTTTACCGAATCATCGTATAATTAGTTCTGTGTGGACTCACGATGGTAGTGGAATAATGAAATATATTCAATGGATAGCTACACGAAAATTAGGCAACATTCGGATTTCCCGATTGAACGACGAATGTGAACTTATTCAAGAGAATGATTTTTCTGTCGTTTCGGAAAACGATCGATTCGTTCAGATTTACATAATGCCTCTAACAGCGAATTTCGACAAAAAATCACTATGTTCAACGACTATTGTTCGAATAATAAAATTTGGCATGCTAACTGTCCCTCGAATTTATTTTAAAAGAAGAGTATTGCGAGCAACCATTGCCTACCAGTATTTAGATAACATACGACAAAATCATAATTTTACTTCCAGTTGGAATATTCCATTGAGCAAATCTCTTCAAAAAGCCAACGTTGTAACTAAGCATCTCATACATTGCATCAATAGTACATCAAATGCAACATCATTAATAATCGATTCAGAAGATATGATATTTTCAAATTTAATTGAATCCGAGAAAATGTTAACAAATTTTATCTCAGTACTAGGCTTTAACACATCAAAACAATCTGTAAAAGATATAATTCAGTACGATTCTTATCAATTCATGGAAGATGCAACTTGGTGGGATCAATCAGAAACAGTTCAACATGTTCTATCCAGCTTAGTACATTCTAAATCAGAAATTTCTAAGAATTCAAAAGATTTCTATCATTTACATGGAAATCATTCGTTTGCACATTATGTGGCCGACAGTCGTCAGTGTTTCAATGATGGCACTTTTTATCAACTGCAGTCGGAAACAATCACTAATCGAATTTCCACTGATAAACCAGAACGATGCTCTCTTAAACCGTTTGATTGCGCTTTTGGTGATCAATATTCATTCAGTGATCGTGAAAAACTTTATCAAACGTACCCAAAGGATGATTATTTTAATTTTGCTCCAATAAAATGTGGTTTTGCTGTTCAATCGATAATTGATAAAGTTCGAAAACGATATGAACGCAATGACAAGTGTGAAATTATAGTATTTACGTGTATTACGAATTGTTACGATCCTTTACCGACTATTACAGATGCAATACCACTAGGCACTTGTTTCGTTGCACTTCTCGATACAAAATCATTGAACTCACTGAAAGTACCTTTTATCGTAGGCGGACAATCAAACAACTTGAGGCATCCATGGGATTTGATTGATTTAGGCAACAGTAGCTCCCTCTTTCGTATCGCTGCAAAAGTAACAGAATCATTGAAAATGCTTGGACACCGAATGTTTCCTTTGGCTAAATGGTTTGTTTGGCTCGATGGTAAAGCATATATAATCAATATCAAGGAAGTATTATCATTAGCAAAGACACCAATAATTGGTCTTCATCATCATGATTTCAATCGCACATCAGAGTTAGAAGTCAATCTTACCGTATCTCGTGTGAAACTTCGTGAAGCACCTAACTCTGTCGAGCTTAATGGTTCATTGCAAGAAATAAAATTACAAGAAGCCGAATATAAACGCGACGGCTTTTACTCTCGTTCAAATGCAATCGGATTACCATTGTTTGATATTGCAATATTCATATATAGAAATAATCATCCGTGTTCATTTCGGTACCTGTGCGGATGGCATAATGAAGTCAATTATTTTTCTTATAGAGGTCAATTATCAGTTTACTATTCAGCTGAACGATTAAATTTGACTTCATACTTAGGTTTCATTCCACGTCGATTTTATCACACGCTTGGCCATACCACTACATGTTAGATATGTGTATATTTATTCCTTTTTTGGAGTATACGCTTTTAGAAAATAAAAGATCAATACTAGACGTCGGCTTCTTCGCACCACAGATTATTGCTTTCATTTGCAAACCAAACTTAAAAGCTATACGAAATATATTTGATCTTGTTTGAAAAATAAAATGTACTTAAATTATTTTTCAATGCTAAACAATTTATTTTGACACAAAAAGTAGAATCTGAAAAGCTTTGTTTTAGTTGACAATTTATTTCTTAAAACTATTAAAGTATTTTCGAAGCTGCAGCGATAAGAAACGTTCTGAATATTTTGTTTTAGCCATAGAACGTATATTATCCTACGAGCATTGTTGCATATAATAAACCAGTAGTTGACATGTGATCCACTGGTAGAACAGACCTTTTAGCAAATTTTACAAAATCGCCATCGGAGCATAGGTAAATATTTCTCATTGTTTTCATCATAAGAATCAAATATTTTGCAACAACCTAACATCTTGATATCAAATTATCGAAAAAATGACGGTCCTAAAAAGACAATCGTTTTAGAGTTGAAACATAGAAAATATTAAAAGTATATTCTTCGCTAATGAAAGGTATATTTTAATTCCTCATAACTAGCATTCATAAGTTCAGCTGGCATGTTCATTGCTTCTGTTGCTGGGTTCATAAAGTAGCGCAACTATTCACCGGATATCGGTACTTTTTCACTCAATGTTACATCTATACAGACGTTGCTAGGTGCTTATTCCGTTGGTAGTAATACTTCTGAAATTAATTTCAGCTAATTGAGTACTTTGAATATGAACTATTCTTTGACGTGCAATACTTACATATTATGGTATGATGTGAGAAATGAATAAGCTTCTAGATAAAATTTACATGTTATCTATAAATTGAGAACAGATTTCGGATTTGATGGAGACCGTGAACGAATAGAGACGCTATTGCAATGGTGTATTTTTTTAAAGAGAAATACCATAATGTGTGAGATCTAACCAATATTCATCTAAAAGAGTTTCAAAATTGTCTTGACAATTGACGATAGATATGTATATTAGTACTATGATATTATTAAATTTCATTAATTGATAACGAGTGATTAAACAATAATTTGGAAATAAAAAATAATAAACTAGTGTTTTATCAATAATCTATTAGATACTGTAGAACTTTTATATACGATTCCTCGAATCGATTCACATCAGTCTTGATTAAAAAGATTATGTCACGATACTTATTTTCATGATTGAATAGTATTATGACTAAAACAAGTTTCCTCAAAAGCATTACTGTCAATGTAATACACATGGTTGCCAGAAGAGATTCGTATCTTCTCATTTGCGAACATAAAATCGAAAATTAAAATGTTTAAATTAAATTAAAATATTTTTCTTAGTGTGAAACTTCAATTCGAAAAACATTTCAAGCCTAGAATTTTCGTTTTTTATTTATTAAACACTAATTGAGAACAATTTTAATAAAATTGATATCTTCAGTTTTGCTAGTAACTATCTGCAATTTGTAGAGTTGGCTAAATATTGAATTTCATTATTTGTATTGAATAAGCCGTAATATATAGAGCGCGCTAAACTATTGTGTTCGTTTTTTGTTAATTAAAATGTAATCGATGAGATTCAGTAGAGAAAAATGCTGCTATCAATATCATGATCTATTTCTCTGAGGTTCCTCATACAATTTAAAAGGTATATAGTCAAGATCTGTTTACACTTCCATTCGAATATTTTTTATATCAACTGTTTTTTTTGTCATTTTGACGATCTTTGCTCGTTTATTATGACTAAAAATTCGTCAAGAAATAAACAATAGAAATAGAACTAGATGATATTCATCTTACCTTTGGCGCAACTTCCTTTATTTCTATCCATTTTTTTTGTCCTTGCTCGCATTTTATCACTAATATTTCATGAGTAAGAATTGAAAAGCACGACTCAATATGCATTTCTACTTTGATTTGAAAAATTATCATCTAAGCCAAATTGAACTCTATACCATATGCATTATGATCATTAATTGATCCAAAAAGAAAAAAAGATCGAAATTGAAAATCATAAGAAAAAAACTGACATTTCTCTTCCAACACAAGAGTTCATTATTTACTACTTGTGTTTTGTCTTTCGTTCAGAAGTGCTCGTGCGTTGCAACATTGACTGGTAAGCAAGATTTTATTTTTATGTTTGCTTTGAGTGATGATTGAAATTTATTGAAATCATTTCGAGGTAGTAGTGCATCATGTTTTTCTCCTAACTGCTGAAGAGAGACTATATAATACTCATTTTAACTTTGATTCAGGTTCTTCTTACGTAGACCCATTTTTTTGCTCTTGTTCGTCTTTGTAATACTATATATTCATTATTCATGAGAGAATTAGATTATTATTGATCTTCATATCCATATATTTCTAGAAATCAACTGAACTATGTGTTGATAATAAATATTCGTCATTAACAAGCTATATGTTCTCCGCATTCAATCGAATCTTTTAAAAGCAATGAACTCTATATTAAAAAAAAACATGTCACTAAGAAAATGAACTAATTTTCTTTACAAGAACTCTCTCTTCAGTTCTTAAAAATGCCGTCTTCTGCGAATTGCAGCAATTTTTTAGAACTGAAAAGCTTTCTATTGTCAAAAACTTACGCCCTCTACAAATAGCAGTAAACTTAGTTAAGTCAAAATAATTTTTTCAAATCTTTTTTTGAAATAAATTAATACTAGTCAACTGTAAATCAAACGAAATTTTTCTTTCGAACTCAATATTAAATTTCAGTCGTTTTGAAAAAAATCGAAATAACAAACTTTAAAATTAAACGAAATTCTAATGGTAAATTTAGTTAAATCTATTTTCTTCATGTTCGCAAATGAGAAGTAGCCATCAGGTCTTTCTTATATCGTTGGCAATGTACAATCATGGTTCATAGACTTCCACTGTAGTTTATATAAGAACAAAAAGTAAAAATATAACTAATAATGCATAGATGCAGCCAAGGAAAATTTACTCTGCATTTGGCACAGCTAATTTCATGAATAATGTAACGAAACTAATCGCTCACTTATTTGCAAATAAAAGCATCGCTTTCCATAGCGACTACAAATGGTTGACATATTAATAATAATGGTCAAGAGTTTCTAATCATATTTTCATACTGTTGATAGAACAGGATGTATAAATGATCGAACCCAAAAATATATTGGTCTAGTAAAAGTTGGATTTCTGTGATTCCATCATATGCTACTCTCTTGTTTTCTTCTATGGAAAACAATTTGATCAGAAGATAACAATATTCGAGGCCATGGTTCAACACAGAAAAATTTTACTTGACTATCAATGTCAAAGTCATCAATCTTACTTTCATAACTTGGGTGAATTTTTATTCGAGTGCCAGTAAATTTTCAATATTTCGTTGTGTCTATCTTGTTGAAATATAGATGTAATAAAACAAACATCAACACATCGCACATGGAATCTATGACTAAGCATTTCATCTTGATTTTTCACTCGATAGTATTATTGTTTTTAGACTTTTTTTTATTTCTTTCTCTGAATAAATTAGAATAACTTCCATACCAACAGAGATTTTATTATAGTTATCTGATATTGTGAACAAAAATATCAATGCTGTGATGCAGTCGAACTGTATTACAACAAGAACTTCAATTCCTAAAGTATTTTTTCTTGTTATTTTGCAACATATTTTGTTTCAGTACAAAACATTTCTATATACTGGTTACTGTTTATCATCTTCTAAGAGTTTTTATCAATAATAAACATTCTCTTTGCAGTAGTTATCTTTAAATAAAGAAAGGAACGCGTATCTTCTTCTTTGTTTTTGCTGTGACTCTGTTTCGAAAACTTATTTGTATCATTTTACATTATAAAAAGCACCTTCAACAAGTGAGAAAGATTTTCTTTCTCGCTGATTAGAAACTAGTAGTATCGTTTTCTTTTGCAATACTCTACTCGTAGATCTCGTTCAAGATAGAGCAAATCTGGAATATTTTCTGAGATGTTAGAAGTCTCAAAACAGTTGAGATGAACTTCTTACTTTTTTTTCTTCTTTGTCAACTATGGCTGTTTCAATGCGAGTAAAATGTCTCTAACCTCCTTTCGATTATATATATTAGTAAGAATCATCAGCTTATTACTTCTAGATACAGATTAATACAAGATCGTATTTAAAACTTATACAATGTCACAGTTGCCTATGTTCGGTTCGAGTAACATGAATAATTATCCATGGAACCATTTAATAACTAAAATTCCACCATCGGTAGCAACAAAATTGAATATTGGTGGATGTTCCTATGTTCTCCTTGGGCTACTTTCAATTGGATTGGACGTAGGTGCTATCGTAAATGGGATGATCAGGTAACAACTGTGATAGTCAAATACAGGGTATTTACACGCTTTTATATCCTAGCTTTGGCGGTTTTATTAATGGTTTCCTTTTACTGATTATTGGGATATTGATCTTATATTTGAGTCGTCATGAAGTCTATGTTTTAACAAGCATATTTATTTTGGTATTTTTTGAGCTGTTTTTCAATATAATCAATGCAATTGGTTTCATTATTATTTTTTCTACTTTGACTTCTTGTGATGATTCGTCTAGCTTCCAATGCTTTTATGGCACTTGGAGTACAATATTGATCGTTGATCTCGTCACTTGTTTTGTTACCTTATGCTTGACTATATTTAATATGATTACGATTACGAGTGGACGTCGACCTCAATACGCTTCAGCAGTGACGCCGACAATACTTTATGCACCACAGATGCAACCGGCAAATGTTTTATATGCAAATCCTTCGGCAGTAATCGTACAGTAATCATTTTTTAATGTGTGCAATCATGCAGCTGCTGAACATTGAAAAATTTGTTCGATCGAAAACAGAATAAAGCAAAATTGCTATCAGCATTCGAAAATATTTCCTTTGTTTTCACAATCCTAATTAATCAATAAAAGATTTCAATTCATATACGACTTTAAAAATCTAAGATAAGTGGGATTGGGGGTTTTGGGAACGCTCGTAATGTATTCAAGTTACTTCACATAAAATATACAATTGATACAGTCATACAATTTTTCCATGCTACAGCATAAAGAAACTGAGCATTTACTAGTATAAAGGCGTAGTTCGCTTTGTAATATACAAGTTAGTCAGCTGGCCAATTTTGCTTCGAAACTGAATAAATGTTTCACAATGACAATATTCACTGTCGAATTTTAATTACTTCTTGTCAGTCAAATGTCAATAATCGTAGATTACTCTTTTCTATTTCATCAAAGTATCTCAATTGACTTGCTATTCAAAACACTTTCGACTAATGAATATTTGCTAAATACTTGTGCGAGCATTGCAAGAGGATTTATGGTTCAATCCAGAGATAAGTTCTATGAGCTAAAAAGTAAACAAATTGCTAACAAAAATTATCAGCGGAATACATTATTTAACGTTTGTTACTTTTCCTCATGATTGAGATGGACTGAACCTGGTGTGTGCTTCGTTACTCGTTGTCTATACGAAATTCATAAATATTACTCATTTTTTTCTATTTCTTTCCATCAACTTACTCTTTACTTGATTATTCTAATAGCACAAAAAATAGCCAACAGCCATATAAGACACATCTGTGAAAACAGTTTCATGAACATAAGCATTGATTATGACTATAACGCGGCAGCTATTTTGTTTCATTTATTGCTAGATTACTAGTATTCATAGCCTTGGTTATGCTGTGCAAATTCTATCGTAAAAAATTGAATGAACCCGATTACTTGTATTAGAAGAAATATTCAACGTCGATTTCGACGAAAATGAATATTAAAATAGTGATAAATTGCTTTCCCTAATACTTTTTATTCTCAGATTGAATGTCTAAAGTTATTATTTTATTTTATTTTTTTGTGTGATTATGACAAGGAGGAAACGGCAGACTTTTGTAGTTGAAGTAACTTTGGCTACTTTAAGTTTGAACTACTTTTGTACTTTGATGTACTTTTCGCAAGGGGGAAAAAGCGGCTCCTGGTGGCTCATGATGGATTCTAGAATCCACCAGGAGCCGTAGATTCCACCAGGATCCATAGAATCCACCAGAATCCATAGAATCCACCAGAATCCATAGAATCCACCAGGATCCATTTTGATTAGTGAATTTATATCAATATTTTAAACAATTTTCAGTTGCTAAAGAAAACAACGAGACTCATATATATCGGATCTATATGAC